GTACCGGTAAGCGTAAACTACAAAGGTAACAAGCAACCTGAAAAAGACATTTATTATATAATATAATTATATATATGTGTATAATATATCTACAACAGTGCAAATGTATCACAGCGTGCAGGCAGCAATAGTCTCTAGAGAAGCATAAAAATTGATTTGGTTTATATAATATAATTATATATATGTGTATATATATATATCTACAACAGTGCAAATGTATCACAGCGTGCAGGCAGCAATAGTCTCTAGAGAAGCATAATAAAATTGATTCATAGTAATGCAAATGCATTACAGAAACAAGAGACAACAATGACATATTAGATACACGGAATATGCACACTTTAGCACGCCGATTTAAAATGATACCTTGCATTGACTCTTGCTTTAAAAACAAAAGAACAAATGTTAAATAATTCAATAACAGATTCAAGGGCAGTATCTCACAATAAGGTCAACTGATTCAGATAAGGAATTTCACAAATCTTTACTGACATAGGTAAAGGCTTGGCTACACTGCAGGACTTGTTTGTCTTCTTTTTAGATGTATCAGTGTAATCTTTTCCTTAAATTTCCTTTACTTTTACCGTAATTCAAGAGCATTTTTTCCGTATTTTTAAAAATTGTTTAACAACTAATTCACATTTGTAAAGGTTGGTACAATTATCATTGAGGCCAGGAAAGCTGGTTTTTGGAAGTAATAGAAAGGAGCTTGTGTAGTGATTTGGGCTACTAAAATAAGATACAATGGGGTCAGAAAAAAAGACATCACAGATGCCACTGAGGTAAAAAACCCTGTCAACCTTATAAGTAAAGACTTCCACGTTGCCTTGCGATCTGCTTAAAAAGACATTTTAGATTTTTTTCTTCTTGAAAGAGTAAAGCACACCCACGGATCCAGCACATTAGGTATTCGGTAGCTCAAAGAAGTCTAAAAGTAATCCCTTCACCTCTAACTACCTCTCACTGTTCCCAAGCAGCTCATTTTTACACCCCACATGGACAGCAACCACAAGTATCTAGCAATAAGCACACAAGGAATTGGTAAGCATGGGCTGAGCTGCATGGAGGCCCCCAGAAAGAAAATGGGTCGACAAAATCTTGATGTATCTTGAAGGCATAAACAATGCAGAGAATGCAGGCTGGCAGGCTGAGCCATGGGGATTTCTTGTGCCAAAGGATACGTATTTTGACTGGTCACCCTTTGTTTTACAGTGCTGGCAATGGGTCTCAACAGAAATCTAAATCTTTTAAAGGAAGGTTCTACAGTTGACAACTGCATAAAGTTATGGTTCATTACAAGATGTCAAAATAATAAAAACACTGAAGCTAGATTTCGTGCTCTACAGTACCATTACCCCTTCACAAACTCTACATGAAATGTGTACAGAAACAGAAATACGCTAACATATGCACAGAATTAAAAGGAAACTTGTTACGCTTGCAGGCTCAACCTGCAATTTTTGGACATGTAATATGCAGAATGATATCCAGGGTTATAAAAACCACTCAGTGGGATACATTACAACAATCTCTTTATGTATTATGAAAACAGGTATTTAAGAACAGGACAGTAGGAGTTGATCCCTGAAAATGCTACTGCCCCTGTCCACAAGTAGCAGAGCTCATGATTAACTTCAGTGACACTCAGCACTTAACTTATGCACTCACTAGTGCTGTGTGGCAGGATTAATAGGACCTGTGTCACGGGCACAGCAATGATCAGCCTGTCACAAACTGCTACAGAGGACATGACACGGTGTCATTTTCTGCCTACTTCTAGTTCCCAAAGGCTTTTCAAAATGCCTTTGTTATTATCATACTTTATAAATGGCTTTCCATACAGAACTAAAGGAAAGAAATTCCTCAGCAATTGCACCCTGTTGACCTGTTCTGGTATGAAAATGGATATACACGAGAAGATCATTTTCTCAAAGAAAAAAGAACACATGGGGCAGCATCTCTGCAGCTACCACTGAGATCTCCTCTGCAGAAATACAGACCGATTATCTACCACAGTCAACCTGCTCCGGAGGAGCCTAAGGCTAGCTACTGCCAAAATCAACCTCAATGTTTTCTAATACTCCTGCTTTTGGCAGGGATCTTTGCTGCCCTGTGTGAATGTTAAAGGGAACAACAATCCTAACACTCAGAGTTCAGGGCAAAGTCCAGACCTTTTCTAACTTACAGTAGGGCTACAGAAACAAGGTAACTTAAAACACCACATCTACTTGTTAAGTGTGCCATGGCACCCACAATGCAAGACCAGTTTTAACAAGTTTCCATTTTAGCAAGGAATTGCTTGAACTTCCAGCTCCAAAGGTCTGAGCTCCAAAGCTCTAAGCGCCAAAGCTTTAAGCTCTAAAGTTTCAATGTACAGGGGCTCATCTCCTCTAACTTGACGTGTCCAGAGCAGGTAGGCAGACTATCTAAGGTACCTTCCTCAGCTCCCTTGATCCTCAGTGCAAGAGTTATGTACCTCCCTGAGGGCAAACCATACTTTTTTGTCACATTACCTAATTCCAAATCTTCTGCCAGTGCCCAAAACACATGCCTAAGAAAGACCACAAAGGAGACGCTAAGTTCAGTGTGAAGAATTGCCTCTGCAGCTGCCTGTCTAGTCCCCATTAACTAGAGAAGGAGCTTGGGAAACCAGAAGAAATGCATAAACTACCACGCAGTTAAGTCCAGGAAGCTGAATTACACTGCTAACATTTCAATTTATCCACTTCAGGGCTGTTGCAAAAACTGGAGCCACATTGGCAAAATGAGGATGATCCAGTTCTGCTCCAGCTGACATTGCTCTGAACCCCCCTGGGAACAGGCACAACTTCAAATGTGGCAACTGCTATAATAAAACTCACCGCATGGGCCAGAATTCAAGCCACTAGGGAAAATACTTCAGGGAACTACGGAAGTACCTCAGGTCCATTTGTCCTGGAGATGGCCATTTCCTTCCTTTTATTACAGAGAAAAGTAGATGATTAACTTAAGACTGGGCCTCTCGTTTTTAGACAGCTATGGTTCTGTGAGATAAACCGTGTCCAAAAACACTATCCAGTTGATGAAAATGAGAAAGAATTTAATTTCATTGGCCGAATCACGGTATCCATAGTTAAAAGCAGCATGCATGTAATTTCCTCTTACTCCACACCTGGATCCTAACAAGTAGGCCAATGCTGCAGCTGGCCACCTGCACCCAGAGCTCTGCCCATGCGTTCAGAAGGAAGCTCTGCCTCGCTGCTACTCCTGCAGCTGATGTCCTTTTCAACCATGTTCATACTGCCTCACAAAGCTTGGCCCAAAACAAACACAGGTCAAGAGAACTGTTCTGTTTGGGAAAGCATTCGAGCTTGTGCTTACATCCCACTCAACCCAAGACAGCTGATGCACTTCAAAATCCTCTGTGAATGAGGATACACCAGAGTAGAGCCAGTGCCAGACTGGGACAGAAAATGCTGCGCTCAACCCCGGTGAAGAAGACTCCAAGCCAGCTTCTGCTGCACTAAGATCAAGGAGCATCAGAGCAGATCCCACAGGTATCAAAAACTCTCCACAGAACTAACTTGACCCCAACGAAGGAGCTGATTAACCAACCCTGCAGTGCTGGTGGGCTCTCCTGCATTACGCAGGACAAACACGTGTGACCCTCTCTCCCACACAGCCACCAAATGAGACTGGACCTGAAGCTCAGTGAGCGAAGGCAACGTGGAAGAAGGTGCATTAGGCTGCAGAAAGAGGTACGCATGCCATTTGCACCCTCCTCACACACATTTTCTGAGGAGCTCTGTTTGGAAACAGCATCATTGCACCTCAAGTCTCTCCCTCTGCCCTTTGTTATCGTTCCTGAATATGATCGTCACAGAGCAGAAGACAAAAGAATAAAATCATATTCCAGTAAGAGTTAACACTGAAAAATAATTAATTAAGATCCCTTCCTGCTTAGTTTGGAAAGCAAAAATAAATGCTGACAATGTTCGTAGGTAAAGCAGTCCTGGATTGGCATTTCTAGCACAGAAAGAAAAAAAATAGAAAGTTCCTTTTTCCTTACCGAAACTATGCAGATAACAAAAGCAATTATGCAAAGCAACAGTAAATACACAGAAAAATACACTCATCTCCATGCTTGATTTTCATTCTCCTCTTCCCCTCAAAAGAAGTATTTTGTGATTTGAAAAGATTAATTCAAGATCACTGTAAAGCTGTAATCTCCTAGAGACTAACCCAACGCAAATGGATTTTTCAGTATAGTCTCCGAGTCTGTTTAGACAGCCAACATCTCAGCCTTCCTGTGCAATACAGCCCTCACCCAGCAAAGCACTTAAGCCTGGACTTTATTTTAAAGACATTAGTTGTTCTTTTGATTCACATGAGACAATGGAGATGTGAGAAGTTATTAAGACACTTAAGCACTTTGTTGGAACAGGGCTTCAAAGGATCCCATTAGAGTCGAAAACATCCATCTAGTGCTGAGTAAATAGGACAGACAGGACCTCCTCTGTGAGGATCACTGGGGTGGTACAGGTCAGTATGTACCACACTGCTTTCAAGAAACAGATGTTTAATGAAATATTCACTTCTGTTGACAACATAGACTTTGACATAAAAGAGTAGATCAAAATGCCATTCATCGGATACATCTAGTACTTGGACTCAAGGGTTCATTATCTCCCACTTTACATAACCAGCTCTCCCTATTATGTGTATATATATTCCTCTCCTTTAATGAAAAAAAGGTAACTTGGGCTCCAAATATTAAGGAGTGGACAGGATTTCAGCACCAGATATTCTTCTGTTACCCCCTTTGATCCATAAAGATGCAATTTTTTCTATTTCTTATGTGAGTAGAATCTGCTTTCCATATGTTTTATTTAATTGTAAATAATAATGTTTTAAGTTCTTTTTAAAAATTTTCAGGGTTTTTCAGATTATATGCAAGTTTCCACAAAGAAAAACAACAAAAAACCATTTGAAGCACATAAAAGTCTTAACTGATGCACACAGTAACCAAAGCGACATGCACAAAGGAAGTCCAAATAAAACAAGACGGCCAGCAGAACACAAAAGTCTCCCTGCAGTCCCAACAGAAATCATACATTCAGTCTTCAACAGACCTTTAAAAAACCTTTAGCCTCTTATGCAACTTTTAGCCAGATTGTGACTGGTTCGAATGGTAATAATGGCATCGATTTCAACCAGTTTATGGCTATTTATATATGGCTATATAAATTGAGGATGTGAAGTCTTTAGAATCTTGCTGGCCTCATTATTCTTCCACATGAAGCCTCCAGAACTTCACAATGTGCTTGCTTCACGCTACAGCACGTGCATGCTCAGTCCATTAACCTGGGAATGCATTTTATACCAGCCTGTTAGAATTTATTTCCACATAAATAGAAAAAAGCCAAGTTGAGACTATGTTAAAAATCTTTGCAGTATATGAAAACATAATTGGGATGGACTTTACATACTCCTGTCGCACAGTAGTGGCAAAAGAGATATCATTAGTTAATTTTGGAGCTAAGGAGGGAAAGAATGATTATCTCATTTATGTGTAGCACTGAGTTGCAACAGAATTAATTTATTTCTTTACTGGGATACTACAGTCTGAAAGTGTTCCTTAGAATAGTAACTTTCAGCTAAATGCTGCCAGCAGATGGCTGGGAAAAAGTGTATCTAACAAAAAAAGGAGTGACAAAAAATATTCCAGAGCATGCATTTTTTTAGGAACACCTGTGGAGGACCAGACTTTTGGCTACCATAATACCATACAAAGGTACAGTACAGGAGGACATGTTGCAGACTAAAGAGGTAAAATAAGAAAGTCTACAAACAGAGGAATAGGCACAGATAACAAGACAGTATCCAAGGAACTCATACTGCTAAACTGGTCTAAACGGGAGAAGACAGCATTGTCATCGTGTAAGTTAACAGTGTTGAAATGTCAGCAAAGTTACTTCATTTGGTAAATTGCAAGTGATTTTCAACGTGGTATTTGGTAAATGGTGTTGGTAAACACAAAACATGAACCCTGAAGGTATTTAATGCCATGGATGTCACACTCATACTCAGCTAGCCTGCGGCTGGACCAGCAGTGTGCAACAAAAGAGTAATTTGGCAAAGGTGGTCTTTTGTCTGCTTGCAAAGAGCATTTGAACTTCAGCCTGTAACATTCACAAGTATTTTGAGAGTCTTGAAAGAATCAAGGCACGTTGTGCCAAGGGATTTCAGCTTGTGACTTATTTAAAAACTGTTCACAGTTACGAGCACTATTTAGAACAGCCAAAATTCTTAATTTCTCCTATCTGACAGCCATATAGGCCCATACATGCTTGTGATTATGCCTGGAGAAGCTGCAGAACTGTATAAAAGCTCTACTGGCTCCAGGACATTTTGTGAAACACCAGCAACAAAACTATGCAAAGAGGTTGTGTAAGGATTTTTTTTTCCTTCTACAGTAAAGATTGACCTTGCTTTCACAGGTCAATCTTATTTTCAGGGAAAGTTCAGCTAACCTTCCTAAGCATGTGACTTGACTTAAAAGTTTTCCACAACACAGTCTTAATTCAAGCATCCTGAGTTTAACAGATACATGTGGTCTATGTCTGTATTGGTAAATTAAACAGAGCCTGGGCACGGGCCAGGAAAACTGAGAAGCAACTGTCTTCAGTTCTAAATGGCAGAGCTGCAGCCCAGCACAGCCAGAGCTTTTCCAGACAATGTTTGGGCTCTGTTTAGAAGTTAGTACAGGACAGGGACCATTCCTATTAGTCCTAGTTGTCTGAGGACTAACAGAGCTGGCCCTGGCACTATTTAGTTTACTAGTATAGACGTAGCCATGGAGTCCTCAAAAACAGTCTGTGAATTGTGACTGCTGGTGACCAGCAGATGCACAAGGTCTCTCTTCGTCTACTCTGTCATGAGCTGCTGAGCTCCTGAATGGTTTGCTGACATGGAGCTCCTTGCAATCTACAAGACTTCAGCATCCTGATAGGAATACTGCATTCATAGAATCTGCAGGTCTGACTCGGAGGTCTGTGATGCTAAGGTAAATGCACAGTAATGGCAGAAGGTAGTGGAATTTGCAGAAGGTCACCAAGGTGTCCAACATGAGTATGGGCCCCACAATTTCATTTTGGGTTGAAAATCCAAACCCATGAAAATCCGTGACAAAATTCACATCAACTTAGAACCAGAATTCCCCCTGCCAAGTTTACAAAGGTGAGATATGCAAAACAAATGCACGCTTCTTTTAACGGTTTCATTGGTGTTTAGATCAATTAGCTATTAATTCCCATGTCGCACACATAGACTTCGGGATGAGAACAAAACTGCTTGGCATAATTAGACCTGCAGTATTACAACATCATTTGTATATTTTGAGGCGCGTCCTACAAGTAGTATGTTGCAGATATAATGAACACTGCCACATGAGGCAGTCACAAGTGTTTTAACACAATACCCCAAGCTTTGAGCTGTGGCTAGCTCTTGCACTCCATCAGGCTTTAACAATCGCTCAGGCTTTAGGGATAGATTCTGCTTTCACAATTTAAGAAAAAATGAGCCTTGGAGTGCTTTGATTTTTTCATTCGCAGGAGGTAGATCAAACAGATAATGAGCAGAGTTAGTATTTTAAATATCACAAATATTGAGGATTGAAAAGACACTGCAAAAGAACATTTTTTCAATCATTCAGCAACAGCTTGAACATGTCTGAATGCCTGTGCTATCTGTTGTTGCTTCCAAATATGGACTACAGGTTGAGTGCAGACTCAGAATTTGCCTTTTCCTCCTATCATTACAATTTTCAGATATGAGACCAGCTCGACAAGTAAAGCACCAGAATTCTAAATTTAGACAGAAACAAAAATAATGACTTGAATCACTTTAGGTTTGTTTTAAAAAAGTATCCATATTAAAAAGATCTCTTTAACTTATTAATTAATACATCTACAGACTTTTGGCCAGAAGGGGTAATTCTGTGGAAAAGACTTGCAAAATAATACATAGAAAACTGCAAAGATGAAACTCTGAATTTAAAAAGATGAGAGAATCCTATTTTCTTTGCATTCCCCATTTTGCACCTCATTACCTTGTCACCTATAGATGACATTATACTATTCTGGCTACAAGGACTAGTATTACCTTACCACGAAATTGTTTTTCATAAGGAAAGTTCCTGCAGCCAGGCTTTTTATTACAGTTACACTGCCTCAGTATTGATATTCTCTGGTGTAAAACTCCCTTCTATTTTTTTCTTCCTAGTTAAAGCTAGAAAGTGTAATGAAAGCATGACCCAACCCAACTGGACTGATTGGCTTAACACTATATGTCCACTATCCCATTGTGGTTCTCTATGGGCTAGGTCGTAACAGCATCTAGCTGGGCACTGGAGACTGGCCTGCCACAGTGAGACAATGTCAAGTGCCCTCTATAGCATGTCTAAAGATCTTCCTACTGCATTGTTTTAGCTGTTTTTCCTTTACCTCTCTGCGCGGATTTTGTATCTGAGAACAAAATAGGCAATTAGGCGCAGAGAGAAGAAGAAAATTCCAAGAACAATGAAGTCCAGGTAAAGTTTGGCATTTTCTACATCCAGTTCTCTCAGAATGGCCTCTGATTTTTGAAAATGGCAAGTATCATCTTTGTCACAATGCAGATCTTCTCGATCCAGTCCATAGATGGAGAGAATAACTCCTTCGAACCCGTATCTGGAAAGAAGAAGGACGGATTACAAGGAAAAGTCCTGATGATCTATTTAGAAGTACTCCACCAGCAATACAATCCCTATGAGAGCTCAGCTGGAAACACCGAGGGGTTCAATATCATTCTGACACACATGTCTCGGGGCAAGTTCTATCCCTGTTACAATCAAGCAAATGACATGTCACTGGCATTTTACGTAAGATTGAACAAAGACAGAAGTTTTGTCTTCAACTGCTTCCAGATAGCGTATAGTGCAATTTCTCCAAAGAAAAATGTTAAAATACAAAGCAGATTAATTTCATATTCAGAAATTCCCCTTTTAAAAGTAACATCATTAATTCCATTTTTTGAAACTAAGCAACGGGGATACAATTATGATTTGAAGTCAGAAATATATTAAAACTGGCATAAATCTAGAACATTGCTTCTCTTTCCTTCCATGTGCTATAGTTTCACTGGCAATGCACAATCTCCCCTGGCACTGGGTGCACTTAGGATTTGACTTTGTGAGCAGATACACCATCATGGATCCCATGCATACAATAGCGCCCTCCGGCTTCAGGAGACTCCACACGGGCTAAACAATGCCTTAAGGCCTCATCTTGAATTCAGCTACTAATTCAGGGGGTGCGATCTCTTAATCTTTGATAGGTCTCTGTGTAAGACCTCACTGCCAAATGAGAGGATATTTTAGCTTGGGTTTTCTCCGTAATAGTGCAGCTTGGGCAGGGTGGGGAAAAGGGGGATGGGAAAATTCACCTCACCTAATTTCAGCTATAAACATTTAAGTGTCTAGTCTAAACTATCCCTTCGTGCCAGTCTTCAGAGGTTTCCTGATGGCAATCATCCCATCTTAAGATAGCTGTCTCAGACAGTGAGAGTGACAGACATAGATAGGATATAAAGTGCCTATGGTTCTTAAAACACTAGTTTAGATTAGAGATGACACAAATCCCACGCCTCTTGTGGCAGCACTACTGCAAAACGTAAAAACAGGCCTTTATCCAACAAGTCTACCTAGGATACAGCAGTGATTTATACAACATTTTCTTCCAAAATGAGGTGCTGGCATCAATTTCTCAGCTGGGCATACTGTCCCTATTATTTCAGAAATCCACTATTGCAAAATCCAGGAAGATTTGCATGCTGTGCAACCCCACTGAATTCAAGGGGACTGACATGGACTTGCGGCCGATAATCTGTACTGAATGTTCCTATTTATTTCACATCATATACAACGTAAAATGCAGTGAGATAATGTGGTATATACCATATGTACGTTTATACTCTAAAAGAATGTGCTGTGAACATAGTGTCTTTGGCACTCAAAATAACCACCCAAACAAGCAAAGGCAAACAAACAGCATTTCCAGATGGGAGGTTAATGGCCTCCCTAGCAGTACCTGACATAGGAAATGTAGGACATCCACTGGAGGTATGTTGGGATGGTATCAAAGCTGACAAAAAACCCAGAGAACAGAAGCACTGGGATGGCAGTAACTGGGCCCACAAAAGTGGCCACCTGTGAAGAGAAGGAATAGACAGTCTCTTGTCAGAAAGCCAGAGAAAAGAATAAAAACTAACTTGCTCTTTCATCTGATGTCCTGACCTCCAGTGAGGAAACAAGCCTTTAAAAGAGCCAACTTTCCTTATGGCAAATCCTCTGTTCTGTGCCAAACCCAAATAGGCAATGCAAACTTACTCTTTAGGCAGTGGGGAGCGATGCCATTCAAGTCCTTCTTATAATGCTACTCCCCCAAATTATCACAGTTCCAAATACTAGGAAATAACTCATTTTTTTTGATGAGATTTCTTGTGAGGGGGAGGTGAGCTGCTGTTAGTAGAGGAAAAGGGGTCCCTCTCCTCTTTCTAAACCGTTCTAACTAGTTGATGCCGCCGCTGTGCTGGGGACCTGTCCTTTGAAGGACTTGAACCCACCAAGAAGTTTACAGAGCAAGATGGGCACTGTGATTCCCTTGCTTCTCTGAGTATGAGACCCCTCTTTCTAAATATTATCCTTTCTCACTCACTCCCCACTGAAGACACACAGACCTGCCTCCTCATTAACCCCACATGAACAGTAGCTTCAACTGGTCCTAAAACGTTGTGAAGAGGATAAAGAACATCTCCAGCTGGGTGGCTTTGGTGGGGAAGATAGATCTTGACCCAACTCCAGCCTGTCCTCTCTACATCCCCTCCAGGGCAAAGGGCCATACAGGTATCTCTGGGGAAAGCAGAAGCACAGGGATCATACAACAGGGCTTTGCTGGTCTCCACAGGGTGGCACAGAGATGGAATCAAGCCTTCTACTGCAGAAATCTTGATAGCATCAATGCATATTAATGTCAATATCATCTGTTATCATAAGCACCACAAAACAGATCGGCTGTGGAATGGTCACCTCAGCACATCTCCTGCCAGGAAGCAGGATGGAGTTACACGGCCAGCTTCCAGTGTGACTGTCATGCCAACAGCTGCTTCTCTCCCTCCCTCTGCAGAAGTTTAGTTTCTGGGCAAGCCTTTTCCTACCTTGCCTCCTGCAACCTTTTCGTATGTGTATGGAAGAACCCTCTCCTGAGCTACTGATCCTCATGGCCTACCGCCACTTTGTAGATGCACAGAAATGCATCAGTCCTGCAGTTTCTAGGACCTGCTCAGCCTGGGATGAATAGCAAGCAACAAGCCACTCAAGCAGGGGCAGGCACAGCCCCATTCAGATGGGGAAGGAACTTCAGAGCCTCACATCCAGTGCATGTGTATGCTGTTTAAGTCGATGCTAGTGGGAAACATCAAGTAGCTGGGGCAGGCACAGCCCCATTCAGATGGGGAAGGAACTTCAGAGCCTCACATCCAGTGCATGTATGCTGTTTAAGTCGATGCTAGTGGGAAGCATCAAGTAGCTATATTCAGACCAAGACAACTCTTTGCCTGTCATCTCTCAACAAAGGTCTTGGGGACACAGCAGCAGTCACAGTAAGCAGTCAGTGTTAGGAGACAGCAGGGTTCCTGTGAGACCACAAAACATCATCAGTACCTGGAGGGATGTAGAGGCTGCACCTATGAGAAGACCCAGTGACTGAGCCACCAGGGATGTCATGGTTCCCAAGGCTGCGAAGAGGACAAATCGGAGTGCATCAGATGGCTGTGAAGTCATCCAGTACACAATGCTGCAATAAGCCACAGGAAACATGATCTGCAAGGAGATACACTTGGAGTTAGTCCATTAAAGCCAAACATTCACTGTTACTCTGAATACAATAAAAACATGGGGAGTTCTAGTTAATCCACAGCTCTCAGCCTTTCCATTACGTGACAGGCATGGCTGAAGATAATAAATGCATCTGCCACAGACTATGATATCTATCTTACTACTTGGGCATTAGAAAACAGATCCCACTCACTTACAGTCCTTTTCAATTCCTTCTGCAAAAAAGCAAAGATGGTCATCTGTTTATTAAAGAAATACTGGGTCAGGTCTCAGCTTTTGTTGTCCTGCTGTTTACTCTGAGGGTGCTTCTGATTTGGACCTGAAGCTTCAGCACACACATACGGACAGTTTCTCCACTATTCAGATGGATAAAATACTAGTACTAATCTTCTTGGCAAGTGGAGTAGCCATGAACTTAAATGGTTCTTGTCTTATTGGAGAGTAGAGCATATACCTGAAAAGGAACATCAGCCATGGTTTTGGCGAGGTAGTAGGCTTTCAGGCTGTACCAGTAGTTCAGATGCTCTCTAAGAAATACTCCCATCTCAAGAGGAACTACAGAGAACACAAATTAGTACGTTAGGTTGTCAGTGTGCAATATTGTTGTACATAATAACACAGTTTATCCATATCTAATCCTGCACTGCTGCAGTCCCATAGAGGCACTGGAACTCTGAGGCCTTTGACAGACCAGCAATAGCTTCAATGATTCATAATGAAATGTAAGAGGTCAGCCCTGAGAGTTGCTCACTGTTTAGACTATGTACCAGTCTACTCAGATGATCTGAACCTCCCTTAAAGAGGCTTTTTGAATTAAAAGTGGTGTCAAAACTTAAAGGACCTGGTTACTCCTTTTGGTCCACCAGAGAATCCAAAGTAACAGCGCTCCCAGAGGAAGCATGGAACAGTCCATACTGCAGGTGTTTGTTTCTGACACCACATGAATATGCTGATCTTATGCAGGAGTCATGACTTGGAAGTCCTAGAGAAATTATTACATCCTCCCTAAGACCAAACATGAGCTCATGACACAGCTGAGATGCACTGTCATGCTGTGTCATGCATAAGGGGAAATTCCAGTCCAGGACTGTAACGGTGAACTGTCCAGGTTGAGAAACGCTGGCAAAACTGGGGAGAGAGAGGTGCCACTGGACAAGCCTATCTCTGTTTGCCTCTACACAGCAGTTTAGTGAGTGCAAGATTTATCCCCACACCTGTCTTAGAAGCAGAAGCACATGTCAAACGTTATCTTATATGAAAAATACATTACAACACCCTCCCAGCTTACTGCAATCTCCTTGTCCATTGATGTAACAGTATGACTGGCACTCACATGTAAGGACAGTTGGCATGAGCGCAGCAAACATAAGAAACAACATGGAAAAAAAGAGGAAGCCGGAGTTGCTGAGGACTTTCTTAGCTTCATTGCCAATGCCTAAGTAGAGCAAGCCGATGAGCAGTCCAATGCCAATGTGTGAGGTGATACGCAAGTGTGTCAGGACCTACAGGCAAGGAAAGAGTAGTATTTCTCATCAGAAAGTCTGGGCTCAAAAACAATGGCAATATGACTGAAATCAGATTGCAGAAAAGGAGTACTTATGTCCAGAAGACCTTACATACAGATGTTAATTTCCTACTGGCAAACTGGGCTTCAGCTAAGGAATGCTTACTGTAATGAGCTTCCCAGTGTAAATCAGACACATGGCTATTACAGTACAGAAAATTTCTTCCTGTAAACACAGGCAGAAACTGCAAATGCTGCAACCTGAAATCGTACCGTCTGACAATGACAGTACTTATGTCCAGAAGACCTTACATACAGATGTTAATTTCCTACTGGCAAACTGGGCTTCAGCTAAGGAATGCTTACTGTAATGAGCTTCCCAGTGTAAATCAGACACATGGCTATTACAGTACAGAAAATTTCTTCCTGTAAACACAGGCAGAAACTGCAAATGCTGCAACCTGAAATCGTACCGTCTGACAATGACATGGAGCCATTGGCCCTCATTCATCAGGAGAAGGAGACTCTCTCTCTGACTAAAAGATAAATTTCCCAGAGCAGAAGAGAGGCAGAAAAGGTATCTCAGGCTTGTAGAGCAAACTAACTAATGCCTAAGTAGAGCAAGCCGATGAGCAGTCCAATGCCAATGTGTGAGGTGATACGCAAGTGTGTCAGGACCTACAGGCAAGGAAAGAGTAGTATTTCTCATCAGAAAGTCTGGGCTCAAAAACAATGGCAATATGACTGAAATCAGATTGCAGAAAAGGAGTACTTATGTCCAGAAGACCTTACATACAGATGTTAATTTCCTACTGGCAAACTGGGCTTCAGCTAAGGAATGCTTACTGTAATGAGCTTCCCAGTGTAAATCAGACACATGGCTATTACAGTACAGAAAATTTCTTCCTGTAAACACAGGCAGAAACTGCAAATGCTGCAACCTGAAATCGTACCGTCTGACAATGACATGGAGCCATTGGCCCTCATTCATCAGGAGGAGACTCTCTCTCTGACTAAAAGATAAATTTCCCAGAGCAGAAGAGAGGCAGAAAAGGTATCTCAGGCTTGTAGAGACCAAACTAACTTAACCAGGTATAAATTAGCCTTCTGTGCCTTCTCTGCAATACAGTATTCCTACAAGAGGTATGGAAGAACGAAAGAAATAGTAAAATTTGGAACAACTGCAAGCCTTTACAGTTGAGCAGGAAAAAAAAAATCTGAAAACCAACACTGTTCTTCAATCTATGCATCAGAAAATAAGTTACAATTTCCCCTTGGTGGAGACGAGGAGAGGACCATATGATCCACGGTTAGTGCTCACACACCTCTGAGATATGCTCTCCAAGCGTACCAGAGACATTCTGATTAGCTAGTTGAGCAGTGTGGAGAATGTGAAGCTGTATGTACGCTTTGGATTACAAGAGCCCTCCCACATGAACATGTCAATTTATTTTAGACCAAATATTTGGTACTAGACTAGATGTGTGAATTCTTACAGATTACAACTTAATTAATCCTTGAATGACAAATGCACTATAATGTAAAACAGCAAGGGAGAAGAACAAGTTACGGCAAAGAAATGCACTGGCAAAACAACAAATGGGCATAATATATATGGTCTGGAAATAAGAAGATGCTTCCTAACCACTAGAATCGCATAGTTCTGCCGTATCTTCCCAACCAGAGCAGTGGGGAAAACAGCTGATTGCTTTTACTATGGCATTCAATATAGTGTTTCCCTTTCTGAAAGGGAAGGAATACTGTGGTTATCTGACAGCGGAGGCTTGGACACAATGGTCCAGTAGGTTTCTTCCAAGCCTGTAGTTCTGTGTGGACATGTCTACACTGGAAACGGCAGTGTCCTAAAGAGATACCTGCCCGGGTGCAGGCCAAAACCATTGTAGCTGCAGCATCTGGAGCTCAGTGAAGCTCAGCTTACCCTGCGCAAGGGTAACTTACTCATGCTGTGCTCCACATGGCTCAATTGCTTTTGGTTTCCAAACTACCTCATCTGAATTCACCATATGTCCGCCAGTATAGATGTATCGTCTGGCTTTCTCCTTTTCTAAGGACAGATATGTCAAATTAATGCATCAATATATATTAACGTATATATTGTCTTCCCCCCCCTCATGTAAAGCACTGAAAACCTTCCAACACACAGAAAAAGCAGCAGACAAACCCTCCTCAGATTTATCAAACTGCAAATTTGCCACAGAGAAAACCACTTGGCCAACCAGTACCAATTATACTGTACACGGGTGAGTTCCCTGGACAGGTGTGCACGTAAGGTCTGGTTGAGGAAGCTCATCTTAACTCACACCTGTTAATGAAGGAACAATCCTATCTAGAGGACATTTCAAAGCATCAATCAGACAATGTAAATAGTCCTATCTTTTAAATTCACAAGCAACTCACCTACTTAGAGATAAGAAAAACTTCCTTGAGTAAAAGAAAAAAAAGTCCCATTGCATTTTGTTAATGCAAACTAGGCACCCAAAACATTTAATGAACATACATGAAAACTGCAGGGTTTGGGATTTTGAAGGGGGTTGTTTATTTTTAAGAAAAAAGGTGAAAGAGATGGTTTTTTTCCTTGGGAATGAAGAGTTTCATTATGATACTTACTTCAGCTTGATATTAAATGTATGAAAACAGATATGTTCCCTTTTCAGAGAAGCAAAATTTTTAGTTATGAATTTTCTGTTTCAAAAATAAAGACTTTAAGTATTAAAGTCTTACATCACACTGAAATTATCATCTCTGCCACACTGAATTTTCTGGAAAAACTGATTTTGTGACATACCAGTACAACTTCTCACTCACTTTTCAGTAGGATAAATAACTGAGTAAGAGACCTGCCAGCACAGAGGGGATTTAAGCTTTAGGTTTTTAGGCCAGATGCTTCTGAGTTCCTCTGAAGAAAACTGTTGTTCACAATGGAGATGGTACAGTTAATTGCAAGACTGAAAGACCAGTCTCTTTCCTTTGAAATTTTGTGATGATCTTCATGTGTGGGCTGTTGGACAGGACCTTTAAGGCGTATTACACTACCTCACAACCAACTGAACAGACCTTTTGGCTACAAAAGTTATTATAACGGCAGTCTTACCGAATCCCTCATGATGGTAAGAAAAGTTCTTTTGAAGAGGATACAGAACTGGGTTAGGCAGCTGGCAGAGAAGCTGTGGCAGCCTTCTGTGGAGGAGGAATCCTGCGGAAACACATAAAAGAATAAACTTCTTTCTTTGCAGTATCTTGCTTGGTTTTCATTCACAAAATGCCACTCTCATCAGCTGAATGTGCCCAGAAACCTCCTCCACTGACCGAGGATTTAAATTCTCTTCCTCCCCCTCCAGCCTCAAGCCATGCCCATTAGTTGTGATATACAAAATACCTCTTCAGAAGGCCGGTGCCAGAGGAAGGGATTCAACTCATTCTCACCACCAACATCTCTCTTGTAGTCTGTGTCACATATCCTGTCCCGTACTGCCCGTACCAGCCGGCCATTCTGGTCTCCATATTCACCGGATGCTACTTCCATTACTACAAAAAACAGAAGGTAAGTTACTGGTTTATACTACTGGCTAGTCACAAGCCTTATTATTAGATCCCCTTGATTCTGTAGCATTGACAGAAACAGGAGTTTTGTCTAGAACAGGCTCTAAAATGCCACATGCAAATTCATATGTATATACACATAATTTAAATGTATCTTTCTACAAATCTTCAGAGAATTCTCTTCATCCTGGAAGTTAAATGAACCATTTTAGATGAAAGGCAGTGAATATGGGATAGTCTTGGTAATAAAAAACTACAAAAGTCTATTTTTGTGGCCCTTAGTGCTTCTTTGGAATTAAGAAACAACAATGAAAAACCCCTCAATGCTATTAGCTGTACAATACCACAGTGGTATTGTTCAAGATAAAAAAACAGAACACTGGAGCCACTTTGAAAAGCCACTAAGATTAATAACTATGAAACACTAAAGAATATGTTTTATCTTTCATTTCCTGGACCTGGACTTCCACCAGAGAGAAATATTCACTAGATTTTACCACTAGATGGCATTCAAATTACTTAGAAAAAATCAGAATAATTTTATTTTGAATTTTGATACATATATGTACACATGCACATACGTATATATGTACAAAAGTATAAAACACACCATGGTCCCCGTTACCCTGAACGTGCTAATCGAATACAAAATAAATTAAATAAACTATTCAAATTGTCCTTACCAAAATCTGCCGGATTGTGGTAGGTTGGGCAATTCAACCCCAAATCTCTCAAGTAAGGGACTAGGTTTAATACCTTCCCACGGTAAATGCATTGACCTTGACTTAAAACATAGAGCTGGAAAACAAGGCAAAGAAAAGAAAAAGAAAAAATAAAAAGAGAAAAGAAAAATGTGAAATAGTATCAAAATATTTGAACCTGCTATCTGTATGACAGCAACCTATGAACCTAATGACCTTTTCTTGTCCCTGTGGGAAGAACACCTTGGGAAGATTTGTCACCACTTGGAACTACCTTTGCATGGAATTATAACTAATGGAAAATGAAATGCTTAAGGTTTGAATTCTGCAAACATTCCCTCCAGGACTTAAAGCACATTAACACAGAAACAGACTAATTCCAGCCTTAGACACATGCTGAAAATAGGCAAGAAACTGTAGAGCTGAGCCATCTAATTTCCACACATTATGGATATTTTGGGCTGGGAGATGAGGCTGGTGAATGCAGGAATGGAAGGAGAGGTGGAACAGCAGAGCAATGGGAAACAGCCTCATTATTCTTACCTTTAGCCACACTATTGACTTTAAATAAACCTCCTTGCCAGACTGGCAATCTGCAAGAGCTTGTTCACCTATGGTGCAGTAGGTTTTCTCTTGGCTCTCACAGGTCTAATTTAAATCTCCTAACAAGATTAAAGTAAATTTAAATCTAACCTAAACACACATGGTCCACATCCTGTTGTTAGGTTGGAGAAAAGATCTCCAACTGACTTCATTTCAATTATTATTATTTCACATGAATAAACTCTTCTGAATTTACACCTGTGCAGCTAGGATGAGAACGTGTACTAGCAACATTGCAGACATTGGCACTAAAGCTCTCTTGCTTTTAAATTACTCTAATTTACTTTACTGACAGCCCTGTGCCCAGGAGCAGTGGTGGGTGAAGGCATGAAAATCGCAAGTGCGATAATCATGATTTCACAAACATATCAGCCAGATTCTTTAAAAACATTACATGTAAATAATGGAAACAGGCAGAAGGAGAAAAAAAAAATCAAAAAGTATATTTTGCTCTTATTTATTTAATTTCTTTATTTGATTTGGAACCATAGACTAGAATTATTCATGTTTTTACTTAAAGAGTGTAGCCTTAAAAGTATAACCTACCTAAACCACAGATAAAAAGTTTGAGAATAGTACCTGATCAAACAACTCGAACAGTTTAGCACTGGGCTGGTGAATTGTGCAAATGATGGACCTGCCACCCTGGGCTAAAGCCTTCATCAGAGAGACGACCTGAAAACATGATGCACTATCCAAGCCGCTGAATAAAAAGAAGGAAGTTTGTTATCCACAGGTTCATAGGCACCACTCAAAACTAGCAGACGTATTTGCTACTTTGGTCTCTTACTATTACCCTTTTATAAATTTTATCATATGCCAACCTTAGGCTTGTATTTTTCCATCAGTCTTTCAATTAAGTTGGAAACATGCATGAGAATGAAAAAGCTGCCTTAAGGGACTTCTACATTTTAGGACTGCAGATTTAAATGCTCCCAACTTTAATGAATAGATACATATTCATAGCTCTCCCAGCCTCCTCCTAGACTGATCACAGAATTTGATTCTAAATATGCTACATTCGTTATTAAAAGTCACACTTTAAAATGCTTATATTCAAGTTATCTTTGCTTGAAAAAGAAAACTCATGCTACAATCTGAAAAGATTTTCCTCTCTGTCTTCCTTCCTGTTTCAGTTTGTGTCTCCCTTAAAAATTATTCATAGTCCCATGGTCCGGCGGTTACAGCAGTGACCCAAGTCACTAAGTAGCCAAATCAAATTATTTCTTGTGGCCTTATTCAGTACTTACAGGCAACACAAAATTAGCCTTTTCCAAGGACTTAGAGGTGAATAACCTTTCTGCAGCACTGTTCTACTATATAAAGCAGTATTTGTCTATCTTTCATTTTTGGCCTTGAAGTACCTGGTTGGTTCATCAAAAAACATGACAGGAGGATTGTTCACCAGCTCCAAAGCAATGGCAAGACGCTTTCTCTGGCCTCCAGAAAGACTCCCAGTCCTCGTATTGGCACATGTCAGCAAACCAAGGGCTGTCAATATTTCTTTTACCTAGAGGAAACACAACAGTGCGTCATTTAAATTTGTTAGCACGAAAGAAAAGCCTCTTTACTGATTTTCATGGAGAATGTAAACTAGCTCATGCTTTGTTTCACCATCCATACACCGAAGCCTTTGCCCATCTAATGGACCATTTATTAGATTCAGTGGGGCTTAACAGCCTACCATTTACTATTTTGACCCAAATTCTACCTGTTTGTCCTACATGACCTGTCTCAGTAAGGAAGCCTTGCCTGTGAAAATGGAGTGGAAATGAGTTCTTCTATAGCACTCCTTGGATATGGCACCGATATCAAAAGAGCTTTGCATCATGTGAGGAGTTACTACACAGTGAAACCAAGAAGCTTCTTTCAACAGAACTTCTAGGCTGTATTTACAAGGGGCTGCAGAACTGTATAACAAGAATCAGTGGTTTCTATGAGCCGCAATGACCTGCTCTTATCTCATCTGTTCATCACAGTCTACTCTGTATAAAGTGCGGCCATTGATTTTAAGTGTTTTCATTCTCCTCAGAGCCAATTCAGTTGTCACACGTACTCTCAGATGTTTGGGACTTCCTCAAGGCACGGCCTCAGGAAGGGCACAGTTTGTCCCAGGGTCTTTGGAGCAAAAGGAGAACAACCCCAGCTGCTATGAATTTTTCTGTTTCAGTGATTGTAGATCCGGCCTGGTAGCCCTATATGAGGAAAATAGCTCTTTGGCATCAGTAAAAACATGGACATAAAAATGAGTGAATCCAAGCTATGCTGCTCATGCAATTAAAAAATCTACCACTTAAAAGGCAGAAAGAAAGCCCAGACATTTAATACTTCACTGAAGTATAGGAAAAGGAGCCCGTCATTTTTTAAAGTAATAGTTGCTTGGGTGGAGGAAGTTTTCCAGAAAGCGTGGCTAACATGGTAAAAATTGGTTAGACCAACCAGGGCCTGACCCTTCACTTGTCCTGATTTTGATTTCCAGGAGCTACCTCTCCCACTAAGAGGGGGTGAAAAAAGAACAAAACCCACTAAACCTCGTTCTCAGAGAGAAGAGCCCAACTACCTCCTTCCCTTTATCTCTAGGAAGGATGCTACGGGACACGGGCAGCACAAGCTAGGTCAACTAGAAACTTAAACTATGGTTCACTGCAGGATTTTTCACTTGTCCCTGTTTTAAACGAGCATCAGTAATCTTGCTAACACAAGTGTATAAATTCAGAAAATTTATCTATGATAAACATTTACCTTACAATTTTCAACAATAAAATGAATGATCTAGTCCAGCACAGGCCAGTAACACTAACTAGAAAATGACTGCTCTTCTAATATGTGTTGAATAAATGCATACAGCACACGTTTTTCCTCAAAGAGCTGTTTGTAATTACAGTGACAGTGTGAACAAGTGAATTAACTTGCTTGGCCTAACTTACTAAAGTGTATATGAATTAAGACTTTCAAAGTACAAATAAAATTAACAGCTGTTTCTGAACAAATGTATTTTCCAATAAAAAATCTGTGTTTAGCTTGTTTAAAAAAAAAAAAGTATTTGAGAGAATCAAAGCAATCTTAAGCTACCAAACATATGTTGATTCGTCTTAAGTTTCCCTCTCCGGAGCTCCTTCTGGTTTTCAAGGATTCTCTGAGATTGAAGAAATGCCAAATGTTCCAATTTGGAAATAAATACAGATAAAAGACAGGCACAGAAATGGCTGCTCTACCTTTGAAGTTGCCATAGTTTTCACATTTCAGGCAAAGGGTATACTTTTCACCAGGTGGGTCAGAAGTAGTGTCACCTTCTCCTTTATAAACCTCTGCTTAAGAATCACATGCAGCTACTGTCAGAGGCGTCTTTTACTAGAATAAGAGACTCCTCTGAAATGATTAAGTCCAACAAGTCAAGTTCAGGCCTCCATCAGATAAAAAAATGAATTAAACTGGCATCTGGGGAGGAGCAGGAAGCCTCTCATATTCCTGAGACAGCAGGCCACAACTTTCTCATGTCCATGCTCCAATCCCACTCTTGTGTCCCCTCATCTCCTCCTTCCTCCTGCACAGCTTGGTTTCCATTGAGTCCTGCAAGGTGGCTTCTTCCAGTCACCTGCATGATTTCCTAATTTGCTCACGGAGGGTCTCCTCAGTGCATGGCTTTGGGAACACAAAATGCACCAAAATGAAAATCTCACCCTTCTTTCTATTTATGAAAAAGAACACTGAAAAATCATGGAAAGCCCAAAACTTGAATTTTACAAGAGTAATGATAGCAAAAACATTGGGAGCTTCCTATACCAATAGTAACTCCCTTTTCATTGGTGGGACAACTGAGCTGCTAAGCCACTAGAAGTCTTGTCCAGAGTAACACACGTCCCTAACAAAGGTAGAAGGAGCAGCCAGCTTTCTCGGAAGGTAAATCTCAATGTTAGCCATGGGGCCATATTATCACATGAGCTGCATTAGCCCTCAGCATAACCCCCACATAAGAGAGGCTTCCTCCTTGAGGAGGCAGTGTATGAGAGATCATACCATCTCCTTGTTGGTGCTGCCTTATGCTGGACTGAAACACAGCTTGAGGCCAGCCAAAACACCTCCAAACACTTTCTGAACTACCGTTTCACTTTTCACGACTCTCTCAACAACCTGAACCATCTCTGCTTTCACCAGTGCCATGATTTTTTGTTTATGTTTAGCTCCAGACATTACCCGCCCTGGGCATATATGGTTTTGAAACACGCTGTGCAGCACCGAACTGTTCCTCTCCTAAGCTTTGGCATGCTCTGCTAACTCCACCCAAGCACAGAGAGACACCTGAGCTCTGAGTGTCCTTAGGAATACACAGGCCCAGACATTTTAAGTGCAGAATGAATGTGTTGAAAAGGCACATTTCCAGCCCTTTAAAGTATAACTGAGGTAATCAAATTCAGTTAAGAAAGCTGCCTCATGCACAAGCTAACATGTCAGAAGCCATTTTGTCTGGTCAGACACCTCCAAGGTATTTTCTTTAAAAGGACAGCCCTGTGTCAGAACAAATGACTGGGAGGAATCATGGCAATCAGATGGGTGAGAGGAGCACACTTCCTAGTGCAGGTCCAGCTGGGTTATAGGTCTCCATGGGCAAAAACACACCAGGACTTCTCTCCCACTCAGGAAAGTCATATGTCAGCCGCAGGCAGAAGCAGGACAGTGCAGCGAATGTGCAAGAGTAAATGGTGCAACTCATTCCCAGTGTTTTAGAAAAAATATGTGCATGTTTTAGCCCGGTTTCCTACTTGTCCAAACCTCGGTCACCCAACACAGCTTCAAAATACATTAGTCTGTATCTCAACTGCAACTGCATTAACTTGTCCAGTGCAACAATATGCCCACCAGCATAGCCATGAAGAACAACGCTTTCAAACACGAGCACAGAAATTTCTGCAGCAGTTACAAGAACTGCTGAGTTTTTCATTAGTCCTTGGAATAATTAAGGCCTACACTCACCATTACCAGACATGACTGATTTATCTCACCACACATGAGATGCCTGAGCCCTCACACATGCATGGACAAGAATCTAAGGTGCTAAGGTACATTAAAAGGAATCCTACAAAACCTGTGTTTTTACCTGATTTTATTTCAGTAGATCTTTTACAATTATCTACTCAGTCTCATACTGAAAGCAACTTTCACAGAGACTGTAGTAAACATTCCCTCATAATGATAGCTGTCAACTTTGAGGTTATGATTTATTCTATCATTACAAGTCCAATGCAATTCAATGTTAGGTAAAAATGTCTGCTTTACAGAGCTCACTTCACAGCCCTCTTTGGCATCCCCCAAAATTCTCAGTTTGCTGGACAGTATACATACCATTTCTCTCCTGCCTTCATCTTTCTCTTGAAGTTTCAGATGAGCAGATACCTGGAATGCAATACAATGGAATTTGATTTTGAACTGGTCTGAAGCACAACAACCAGTTACCGTGGATGTCTCAGGCACAGCATCCCAATGTACCATTTAAACAACTTCTTTCAACCCAGTCAGGAAAGTTTAAGTTGAACTATAATATTCAAATCACAAGCATCACATACGCCTGTGCAGTAGGTAACTGAGTATAATCTGATTTAAGCAATCACTCAAGCATCTGACAAAAAGCGTATTAGAAAAGAAAAGCCATCCTGCAAGTCAAAGAGGTTGCGAGGAAGATGGGAGAGTCATGTTTTTTGCACAGCCACTAACTTCCCAGGCAATGCTAGCATCACAGTTTATTTGCGCTTCATCCATACCATAATGATAACTAAACTCTGCCATTCTCCCAGACGTGAATAAATGAGTACAGAAATAAATAATCTTGTGAAAGATGTCATCTGCTGTCCTAACAGGCAGCTCCACAAAACATTATGATTAACCCTTATTAGAAGCAATTAAACTGTTAAGTAATTATTTTTGTCAGAGCCTTGATTGATTAATTTAGACAGCAATTATCATCTGGGCCCAATTCTACAAAAGTGGCCCTATGGGATTCTGACTACAAAGTTCAAGTAAACAGAACTTCTTCCTCACAGAGAAGTGCCTTTGCAGAAAATTAGCCACATAAAAACTACAGTGATTTCTTCTGACCTTAAAATTTGTGAATTGATGCTGGCATACAGCAGAAGCAACCTTAGCCTTATTTTGATAACATCCTCTGAGAAAAACTGGCTCATTTCTCCAACTGAGCAACAGGCACTTCTAGACTGATTGATCAAGCTGGCAATTAGTAAACTTCTTGATGCTACGAAAAACAGTAAGAAGAATTTACGTTGCCTGTAAGTCTTGGGATTATTCTGTTCCTGTTGTTTTCCTGTGAAGAACTGGAAGAGATTTTATACAATGCCTTTTCTTTAATAAAGGCACAAAAGAGTAGAAGTAGCAGAGAGACCACGCTCAAGTCAAAATAGCACTTTGCAGTCAGAACATGGAAGATGGGGAGAAAGAGAGAGACAAGGTTACTCATCCACCACCCAAGAAAAAAGACGGTCCCTACAAAGGCTCATTCTGTGCAGAATTTCAGGTTCTATTCTCTAGGACGTCTAAGGAGTAGAGCCTTAGATCTTCTTCCAAACCATAAAGCTGGTCACAAATTGAAAACCATAAAGCTAAAGAGGCTCAGACAACCCCTAGAAGGATGAGCCTGAAATGGAATTCAAGGCATCACCAAAGTCCAAGCACTTTCATTGAGTGGGATCAAACAGAGATAACGGCTCGTGGCATTACCAGGAGTAAGAACATGTGCACAATACACACAGACTTTTCCATTTTCTCCCGCCCAAATAAATTTAGAGCAACAAAGCTCACCATCATAGCTTCCTGGACAGTCAGATGAGGAAGGAGCATGTCATCTTGCATGATGTAGCAGGAGACTTTGCGAAAAGAGCGCAGGTCACGAGGCTGTCCATTGATGAGAATTTCTCCTTTCATTCCCGTCTCTCTGAAACAAACCAAGAAAACAACCAGGGGTGAATCTTGCCTTCACTTGTGCTGCCACCAGGCCTCAGTATGTAGAAGTCTGAGGTAATTATTGCCCACTATGGAATAAAACTGTTAAAGTGGATAGAGATCAATTTATTTCATGATTACGCTCTCTTTCATTAGAGGCTTCACACAATGTTGATGAAAATTTTACTCGAAGTTAGTACAAACTGTGTGCTGTCTCATATGAATGTCTGAAAAAATATCAAGCCATTCAAGTGATTTTTTTTTAGGTTTCTCTATCCTGTTCCTTGTGCCCTAATGACAACAACACAGAGACACTTTGTATTTGGCCATACAACAGGGGATTCAGGAAGATGAACCACAGTCACTTCACACATTGCAGTTTGGTCAAGAAGACATCAACACTATGAAAGTGGTGAGTAAAAAGGGTCATTTTTTTCAAGTGTTTATAAAATGTGATTTAAAAAATATCACAAACATAAGGTACTGAGTCAGATTAGTTACACAACTAGAAAGGAGAAATTTTTTTGTGTTTTGGACTTTAAATTGCTTCCTATTTTTGGATCAGACTTGTTAACAGATAAATCCTAAGTGACCAGAACAGGACAAACAGAAGAATATAAGCAATAAGAATCTAATTCAAAATCTGTAAAATACCTGTTTTCTACAAACACTGGGGTAAGATTTCTTCTGCTATTGTCTCCAAGGAGCCATCATGCTAGGTGATCTTATCTTACTTGGGATTTTCATTGTTACTGACCTGTATCCTGCCAGAATGTTCATGAGCGTTGACTTCCCAGCTCCTGAAGGACCCATAATTGCAACAAGTTCTCCACTGCTGAACTTCCCTGAAATTCCTTTCAAAAGGGTCTTATAACCTGAAAGAAGAAAGAAAAGTTCACTGAACCCTTTGCAATCATGTCTGGGGGGCAATGAAAGTTCATTTCCACTAAACAATGATGACAAATGGGCATTAGCAGGTACCTGCTGAGAGGTTGATGCTAAGATCAGCACACTGCAGTAACTATCGAAAGCCAAATTCTGAGTGGGAGCGGCAGCCTCCTCCCACTACACAAGTAGTATGGTGGGATTACAGGATCACACACTCTTGATTCACTGTAGGAAAATTTTCAAACAGGGCTAAGAAGCCTTGCTGCCATTTTCTAAGTGTCTTCTCAGAGTATTTTACTAGGATGCTGGTGTCTCTGTTAAAATATCTAATACTCCACAGCTAACGTAACTCCACAGCCTTGGAGCAGACTGCCCTCCAATCACTGCAGCTTCAATGCCAAAAGTCTGCCCTCTCACCAAAACAACAACTTCCTGGAGAGTAACAGGCATGATCTCAAAGGCAAAGCCCCATCCTTTTGTTCATTCCCTGCTAAAAGAGGTATGACAAGAAACACAGCAAAGGGAGACACACAGGAAAAGATGAACCTGCTTCATTCTATTATCATCAGAACTCTAAAGGCTTGTCTAGACAGGGAGACTGACCACAATAACTCTGTAAAAATAATTCCTAGGGAAATACTTATTCCAGATTAAGAACATGCAGGTTTTCTTCTCGTGTAGATTAATCCACTTCAGAAGATCATGCCACAATAATTATGTCCTCAGGCAAAGCTGTTCTAGAATAACCACACCACCACCTTCAAATATCTCACCCTAATCCTGAGTAAATTACCTTTGTCAATAAACCTTAATTTAAACCCCAAACTCCATGTTACTCTAGGTGTAAGCAAACTGGACTCCAATGAGAATTCCAGATTTGGACTTAGCTGCATCGATCTTGTCCTGCATGATTCCCATTTTAAGGCATAAGGACTGGGTGGGGAGGGTGGAGAGAGCCCTGACCACATTTAAACTTTTCAGGATCTCTTTCCCTTTTATTTTTTTGCTTGCTTACTTTATTTTAATTACCAGTGCTTTTAGTTAAAACTTTTAATAATAAAAAAATCTTAAGTAAGGTGTCAAAAAACAATCTCGTATGTTGAAAATGTTTCTGTAATTAAATTAAAACTGAAGGGTGGAAGATCCATTTACATGCAGTGTTGGGATGGGGCAATCCATTTTGCCATATTGGTGCATATTCAGGCAGCATTTATACTCCACATGTAAACTATCCCAGTCCTGTGATTATCATTAGCATAGGTTGTAGCTGGAATGTTGAAATGCTGTAAAAAAATCACATTGTCTGCAAGCTGCTAGCAAATGAATGGTGGATTATCTTCTGATTTCTCCTTCTTCCTAACTCCATAATTTCTTGTATTCCTTTCATCCCTGCTTAGCATTCTCTTTAAATTTTCTTCTTTTCTCTAGGCTCAGTTCACACTCTTTCAATGCCAGAGAGAGCAAACTTTTGCACCAAAACCATTAATGTCATGCTGCCATGGGCTCTCCCAAATCCACAGCAAATACTCTTCTCTGAGCATTCCCCAGCCCAGGAGGAAAGCAGTAGCCACAAAAACTCTCTCTAGAAATATTTGATCCTACTGTTTTCATGGCAAATGTCCTAGAAAATGTAATGGACCAAATGTATCAAAATAATAGTTTTCTTGAGTGCCTTTTTTTAAACAGGCCAGTAATTTTTCACTATAAAATCTTGTCCTGGACCTGAATGAAACAACTTGTTTGGAAGCTACAAGATATCATGGGTATGAAAACAGCAGTGTATTCACATTGCCTGTTTATGGCACAAGTCCTAAGAACAAAAGCAAAGACAATCTATCAAAGGGAACAGCTATTTCGAAGAGAGAAATCCGTGGCACCCCGACAAGGTCAACAAGCTTGTCCCTCACCCCAATGTCACCATCCAAATCAGCATTTGAAGACAAAGTGCAAGGAAGAGATCAGACCTTTCAAACATGACAATATTTACTAAATGGGATCTAGAGAGACAAAGTCCTTCATACTTTCCCTTAAGTGTAATGAGAACCAGTAACCTCCCAAGCCTATTAAATATGTAAGGGACCCAAACATTAGACTTTACCACCAATTATTTGCATCCACCACACACAGAAGTTATACGCAGCTGGGAACTCTTTCTCACACTGGTCAAAAGCTGGCCAAATTGGCCTGTCATTAACTTCCACTGGGATGGGATTTCTTTCACCGGGTCCCACATGTAGTGCACGGGGTAAAGTACTCACTGGTGTCTGTCTCTATTCCCTGTCTGCCCCACAAAGCAGTTCAACATGACAGAACATCACATGGCAACTCCATTACGACAATTTCTACTGTACGGGCTTGTTCTGACCCAGATTTCCAGGGTAAAGGGTTCTTGTCAAGAGTTTTGCAATAGTCAGCTCATCATGACTTTTAAGATCAAGACAGTAAATATTGCACAAACTTATAGGGGAGCATAAAGAACGTGTACTGCCATGAATACTGAGGGAGGTACAATCTAAAATACACACTCATCATCTGAAAACATGTATCAACATACATAACATTACCTAAAACTGATGCCTTTCCTCTCACTACATATGACTGTGAGATTTAACATTACATCTACTAAAGTCACTTTTCCAAACATAATTTCACAAATGATAATCAGTTTACTTTTAATTGCAGTATCTTCCCCCCTCATTACCTCCACTTGTTTCTGCCCCTCTGATGGAGATTTCCATTTTAAGTATCCGGCACAAAATGTTAAATCAGAGCGGGACACATCTCTGCAACTCATTTGCAAAGCAGCAGAGAAACATGATTTAAGAAGAAATAGAAAAAACCTATGAATTTTAGATCAGGATCCCAATCATTGGCATTTTACGTTGTTACAAACTCAAAACCATCTCTTCTTTTGACTGGAAGCACATAAGAAGCCTTTCTATTACAAAGGTTAATTTAGCAAACCCACAAAAAGATTTGACACTGCAGCAGTAGCATGATGCCCAGTATAATCCTTTACAAGGAACTGAAGTCCATAAGTAACTACAGTCTTCTCTTTCAGAATATTGAGGCTAATATTGAGGCTAATCTTTAACTGAATCAGTTGACCTAAAACTTCTATATTGGGTCACATGTCTTTCACAAGAAACAGATTATGCATTTGGAGGGGATTGTATTGTTACAGTACAGGGACTGTTTCATATCCATCTGCCATATATTAGGAATTTCTGACCACCTACAATCCTGGTTTACCTGACCCACCTCGTTTTCCTTAGGCCACCAGTTCATTGAATCATAGAATCATAGAATCATAGAATCATTAAGGTTGGAAAAGACCTCTAAGATCATCGAGTCCAACCATCAACCCAACACCACCATGCCCACTAAACCATGTCCCTAAGCGCCGCATCTACACGTCTTTTAAATACCTCCAGGGATGGGGACTCAACCACTTCCCTGGGCAGCCTGTTCCAATGTTTCACCACTCTTTCAGTAAAGAAATTTTTCCTCACGTCCAATCTAAACCTCCCCTGGTCCAACATGAGGCCATGTCCTCTCATCGTATCACTTGTTACTTGGGAGAAGAGACCGACACCCACCTCGCTACAACCTCCTTTCAGGTAGTTGTAGAGAGCGATGAGGTCTCCCCTCAGCCTCCTTTTCTCCAGGCTAAACAACCCCAGTTCCCTCAGCCGCTCCTCATCAGACTTGTGCTCCAGACCCCTCACCAGCCTCGTTGCCCTTCTCTGGACACGCTCCAGCACCTCAATGTCCTTCTTGTAGTGAGGGGCCCAAAACTGAACACAGGATTCGAGGTGCGGCCTCACCAGTGCCGAGTACAGGGGCACGATCACTTCCCTACTCCTGCTGGCCACACTATTTCTGATACAGGCCAGGATGCCATTGGCCTTCTTGGCTGCCTGGGCACACTGCCGGCTCACGTTCATGTTCATGATCCGTGCAGCAAGGAGTTTTGGTACCCCAGAGTTTAATGAAAGGCTGAACCTCAAAGCGAACTCACCCCAAGATGGATGAGTATTACAGGCCATTCAGTTCAAGCACCACAGTGGCTGTCTCCTTTTGGACTGGACTTACATCAAGACCAAGTTTAGCATCATGACTTTCAGTTACTTCTCTTAAAACTGTTTTGATTTCCAATAGAAAATAGTTTCGATCCTTTCAGTTTTCCAATGTCCGCTCCTGGAGTTACTGCGACCTCACCCTTAAAAATATATTTAGGGGTTGATGCCCATGGGAATCCAAATACCAGTTTTCAAGAACTACTTAAAATACAGATTTGTCAACAGGATATTAATACACCATCATCAACCAGAACAAGCACTCAGCAACTTTCTCAGTCCAACCCACTAAAAATAGACTACAAAAAGTAAGAAATCAAAACTGAAACAGAAAATTCAAGTGATACAAAATTTTTTGGTCTTGATTTCACCTCACATTACATTCCAGAGTTCAGCTGCTTCTCCCAGGAAGCGAAATGTGTTTCATTTTCTGTGGTAGGATTTCCCATTGAAAGCAAACTCCAGGCACTGTGATATTAGACCAGATTTGCAGCCAGAAACACGACTGGCCTAAACAGACCCCCATTCAAGAGGCGGATTTCCCTCACCGCCTGGCTGCAGCACAAAGCCCACAGCAGCCCCTTGTTTAATGAGCTGATCGAGAGTGACCTCCTTTGTATTGATGAAGATACTAGGGGTGCTCTCGTTGTTCGTCACCAAAATTTTTGCTAATGGATTCAGCAAGGGAAAAACATGTTGATGGTTTTATCTGCTTCCTCGTGGGTTCTACAAGGATTTCTGGGGAGATCTGGTTTTATCATTCTCACAAAAATTATGATTAATCTGGAAAGAAGCAAGCCACCCCCTTCCCCGTACTGAGGGTAGGAGCGCATGCTTCAGAATGTCTCTGAATCAGCACCAAAAAAATCGTAACTAAAACTCCTACCCTTACAGTGAATTTCCTCAGG